CAGAAAATAATCGGAAGCTGGTAATTGAAAAAAGTAACATTCGATTACTACGAATCGAATATCTTCAAAAAATAATTAATTATAGACAAAAAAGAAGATCGAACCGACCGAGTCGTAAACTACACCGATGAGCCCTATGTCGACTTATCACGATGATGGCGACTCGGGTGATGAAAACAGTGATGATGATAATGGTCAAGATTATGATAACGAAAAAAAATTACAAATACCAGCTTCGCTTCAACTGAACGAAGACCTGGCAACAGCTCTAGTTTTGACTTAATAGAAGGAATATCTATTTTACCCCAAGATTAAATTATTATAATTATTAACCTATATTTTTTGTTGATGTTCTAATAAATATATAAATAAATACATATGTTGATTTTAATAATTTAATTGCATTATGACGCAGAGTAAATAAGGTTTTTGCACGTGAGTGTACCATGCGCAAACTTACCCCCACTACGTCAACAAATGCTCAAGAAGTTTGCCGGCTATTATACATGCATAATAAAAACCTCTGTTGACTGAATTTAGCGGCGTAGTAACAAAGTTACATAAGCAGAACGCAATCATTTATCAATTCGTTTGAAAGAAACTGAACAGTCACGTTCAAGGCCGGCGCATTCGCTGACCGAATTATCAACGAAACTGAAGTTTGGATTTCATTAACTAATCTCATTTCAAACGTTATGTAAATAGTACTTAAGCGATTCCGATCCGGCGGTAGATTCTGCGGAGCTCTGTTCTTGCTAGGACCAGTGTTGGTAACTATCTCAGGCTGAGCCCCGTGAGCTCACCGGTCTGTGCGTAATTACAATAGTCATTTAGGCTACCAGCGAATCATCATCATCATCATCATTTCAGCCTATCGCCGTCCACTGCTGAACATAGGCCTCTCCAATAGATTTCCAGTGCGACCGGTCCATTGCCACCTGCATCCAACGAGACCCAGCACTTTTTACTAGGTCGTCGGTCCATCTAGTAGGTGGCCGTCCCACACTGCGCTTGCCAGTACGTGGTCGCCACTCCAGGATCTTNGAATCATCATCATCATCATCATTTCAGCCTATCGCCGTCCACTGCTGAACATAGGCCTCTCCAATAGATTTCCAGTGCGACCGGTCCATTGCCACCTGCATCCAACGAGACCCAGCACTTTTTACTAGGTCGTCGGTCCATCTAGTAGGTGGCCGTCCCACACTGCGCTTGCCAGTACGTGGTCGCCACTCCAGGATCTTTCTGCCCTATCGACCGTCCTCTCTTCGTGCTATACCAGCGAATACATGGAGAAAAAGAAAAAAAGTACTTTTTTTTTCTTTTTGGACCCAACACTAAGTGTTATTTGCCACTTTCAAAAAAAGCACTTAAAAAGAAGACAAAATTTTCTTTAAAATATTAAGTATGTTTTAAATTTGAAAACATGTAGACGTGAGCTCGGACAGTAGATGTCATCCGGCATATTTCTGCCGCGAGGCTTTTTTTTATATGTTCCGGTTTGAAAGGCGAAACAGACAGACGATTTACATTTATTGTTAATTTATTTAATTTATTTATTAATTTAAATTTAAGGCTTCCATATCAACTATAACTAACTAACTCGATTATCAACGTTTTTAGATTATTTTGTTTATTTGGGATATTAAAAATAAAATATAAGCCAAACGAGTTACCACGGTTAACACAACACCTGATGTACATACACAGTGAACAAAAACAACTGAATTTAATGATGCCTTAAAATCTATTAAAAGATGACAAAATACAATTCTAAAACAACTACAAGTCGACAACAAACAAAATATTCCAAATTCTCAGACCCATCAAAAACAATATATTGTAGGTATGCCTCTTGGGTCGTTAGTATTTGTTTTAATTTTTTTGCCAGTCTAAAAAAAATCAAATGAACTGACAACCTCTTTGATATGTCAGGTGTCAGCTTGCAGTTAAAACTTTGAAATCGTTACGGTTGACTTCTTTATGTTCAAAATTCGAATTAGACAGATTATATTTAAATGATACAAACTTTAAATATTCTTAAAATGATATCTTACCTAATTAACTCACTGTTCTTTCATTAAAAAAAACATGAAGTAATTAATCTCTATGGTGGTACAGTACGAATAAACAGACCATTCACATATGAGGCCGACAGCGCAAAAGCGGCCTAAACTTACCATAGTTATTATAGAGCAATGAGGTTTAAGTTTTCATGAATTTGAATTTGAGTAGGCAAAAAAACAACACGCGCAAAAGTAATGTTTACAAAGCCATTTGTTATCTATGGGTTTTGCATCAAAATTTATTATATTTAAATAAATTGCAATATAAGCATGATTATGAAAATTTGTGGGTTAGGCCACTTTTGCGCTGACGGCCTCATCAAAGTGGATAGTGATTTTTTCTTTCGGCTTTTAGTTCAATCTTAAAGAAGGGCTATTCATCCACACCAATAAACGCCTAAAAGTCAATTTCTCTATAATTGTTATTGAAAAATAGTTTATATTAATGACCAGGTACAAGTCACACAAGATCATCTAGCCCCACACTGCATGCATACTTGAACACGTTTTATGTGAGTCTTTAACTTTAAGAACAAACAGACCTCACTTTGACAGGTGTCGGACAGGTTTCATCAGACAAATGCTTGCCCAATCTGAGAACGGAACTCACGACCCTCAAGCCTAGCAGTCGGGGTAGCTAACTACTGCACCAGCAATTTAGTCAAAATGGGGGGTATCTCTAATCTGTCGATCACTCTAACCTTATCCTCTCAGAATAATTCTGAATGATGAAAACTTAAGACGATATATTCAATCTAATCAATTGATATTTGATTGATGCCCCGATTGTCGGGCGATTAGATAGTATTGAAAAGTTTGTGACGTCATCAGTTCTTAGAAAAGTACTTGAAAGATAACAAACAAAAAAATTGTATTTTCACGTGTAGCCATGGATTTGTTTAAGCGATTACCAAAATTATACCTATTGTTTTCGTAAATATTTACGTATACATATCTATTTCAAATGCCCAAAAAGGGAGGGTTTTGACTTTGTCGTTGTTTGTATTCATATTGTGGCACCGACACGGGCATATTGGCATATAAGTTTGGTGTTTTTTTTATTGCTTAGATGGTTGGACGGGCTCACAACCCACCTGGTGTTAAGTGGTTACTGGAGCCCATAGACATCTACAACATAGATGCGCCACCCACCTTGAGATATAAGTTCTAAGATCTCAGTATAGTTACAACGGCTGCCCCACCCTTCAAGCCGAAACGCATTACTGCTTCACGGAAGAAATAGGCGGGGTGGTGGTACCTACCCGCGCGGACTCACAAGAGGTCCTACCACCAGTAAAAACTCAATACCAGACTGTGTCGTAAAAGGCGACTAATAGATTCACTGGACCCGCTGAATTTTCTTAACAATATTAACCGGTACGGTTACCGTATTGACCATTTTGGCCGCGAACTATATAATCACGCATTCAGATTTAAAGAGTAAGACAACCGTTTTAGAGAAATGAGAGAATTGCTAACATCTGCTCTAACAAAAGCAGTTCTTCACTACCAGCGCCTCAGAATCGCGACCCACAAAGAAGATCCGGCTAAAAACTCAGTGGCGTATAGCGGCATTCACATTGCGATTGGCCGTAACCTTTTCTGTCAATCGGTATCTATAAATTCGTGTTATGTCCATTTAGTTTTTGATTATTGATTACAAAATTTTATATTTATATTTTTGTAACGGTAAAACGGTGTGGCGTTTAAGTACGCACCTTTTTATGATGCGTAAGCCGGAACGCACGAGAGGTGGAAAACAGAATATAGTCTGTGACACAGGACTTTTTTTACCGCCAAATATTTAAAACGTAAAAATAATTTATAACGTGTTTAATAACTAATGTAATATAATTACTTGGAATTGTTTATGCCGCTACAACAATAAAATTTATATTGTTTCAACTGTGGTGCTAATTATATAAAACACGAATTTACGGCGAAATAAAGAAGGAACTCTATATGAACTCCCTCAACGGAATTCCCGTGACACTGGTCGCGACAACACCGCTATCATCGTGTCCGTTAAATTTAATACTCGCTCCGTCTATTTTTTCCCATTACCTGTTTCATCCCCCGTCTTCCTTTGTGTTCCTATCGAGCCGTTCATTGTTCATTTTTTGTATTAGATTGAATTACGGGTTGTGTGGTTGCATCGAGCATTCGACACGGCATCCCAGCTGCTGTATTAGATACATCCCCGACCTTTTTTTGTAGCGGCTACTTAAATTTGTTGCTTTGCCTTGTCTATCTTTAAATATCATAAAAGGAATAAAGAGTTTCATCCGCTTAGTTCGCTGTATTTATAGTTCAAATATTCCTTATGTTTTGGGACAGTTAATAAAAGGTAATATAGTCTCAGGGTTGTTCCGGTTGTTTCAAATCTATTTATTACTAAAATCTCATTGTCGATTAACGTATCCGAGTTCATCAGTCGCCTCAAACACACAAGGTTCCATTGACTTTGATTTTTAAAAAACACGATCTTATTTGCATAACAGTTACAGTTAAGGCAATATTATAGCTTGTTTTTGAAAACATTGCATTTGTATCGCCTCAGCGAACTGATGTTTTTTGCGACACGGGAAACCTTTATTCATTTGTCTACATAATAATGTATGCGTGTAAAGAAATCTTTTTTTTTAACTCTGTAACGATATAGCGAGAACTGTTTGAAGGACGCGAGAAGTGTGCGGTACGTAACCTTTGAATCTTCGTGCCTACTGACATTTTACTAACCATTATATTACAAAATGTCATTCTAGTGACTGTAGCTATATTGTCTTGGACGAGAACAAAGAATGGTAACTTAAATATAATAGTTTTTTGCGTCGATACAATTGCGTGCGCCAAGGAAAAATGAAAAGCAAGCATAGGCAATAATGTATTTCATTTTATTTATATTAGATTTTATAACAATACTTTTAACAGTCTTAAAACGAACGACTTAGTAGAATAGCGGTCAACGCATTAAACTAAAGCTACAACGTCATTTTACAATATGTACACTGTGCTCAGTGAGAGCTATTTAACGTTCTCGATAGCGTAAAAGTTAACTAAAATTTGTATGCAGTTGGAACGTTTGTCTACGTTTACCGCTAGGGGCGCTGTTCCAACTGTAAACAAATTTGGGCTAACTTTTACGCTATCGAGGACGTTAAAAACCTCACACTAAGCACACATATCTGAGTGTGTGCGGTGTATCACGCGCACGTCAGCGAGGGCAGGGCTTCGGGCGGAGCGCTGTGCCGGGCGCTCGTGCCGCAACCGGGGCCCGCGCCTCGCGCTACCGCCTCGAAGAACTGGCGAAGATCGCTCACTGATCGCGTCGGCGGCGCCTGCAAGTCGTGCAGCGACGCGGCACGCCGGGGCGTCGTCTCAGACGGGACCACGGGTCGCGTCAGCTGCTCGGTACTCCTAGCTAGACTCCCACCGTGTCGAGATAACGATTCAAACAGCGCCCGGCGTTCCTTGACCGGCACGTACTGCGCCACCGCTTCGTGTGCGTTCGGGGAACACGACCTCGCTCTAGTCTCCAACGACGCAGTCTTCCGTCTCGCCGCTTCGATCGCGTGACGACCCCGCTCCGCGCCGCCGGCCGTACCCTCCCATCGCTTCAAGTAACGCCGACCTTGCTCAGACTCAGATCTCGCGGCTCGCGGCAGAGTGTGGTGCTGCTGCGACACCGCCGAGCCAGCGTTCAGTTTGCTACAGCTGTCACATTTGATGACGACCTTGGTTTTCCGATCCGGCGCGTCGACCACGTCGGTAGTCTTTAAGGCGTCAAGGGAAAGGGTCAGGTCGAGGCTGCGATCGGACGAAGAGTCGTAGTCGTCGTCTTCTACGACGATGCCTTCGTCCGTGGCGGCCGGTGAATGATCCCTCCGCGTTAACTGAGTCTCTGTCGATGTTAGTAACCTCCGACGGGCTCGCGGAGGGGGTTTGGGAGGGCATGACGGCGTCTCCTCTTGGGGGGCCTCTTTCTTTGGTTCTCGATTAGCGGTATCAGCCGCTGGTAACACGTCCAGAAATCGAACTTGTGGTAGTGGCGTCTGGCCTAAGATCTCGACGCACAACGCGCGTACCCATCTCGTGTATTCAGCCGCATTGCAAGCCTGCAACAAACAAAAAAAAATACAATTAATACATATTTCAGAACTGAGGAGAATTCACAGCACAATCTTAAGAAAGACGTCTTAATTTGAATACATAAATATTAAATCAACGGAAATCGCGCGCAGTACTTCACTGGGGTGAGCTTAATGAAACAGCTGATCTACGACCGTCAAGTTACATTGACATACAAATTCTTTAGGGGGTTCCATCAAACGTGTTTCTTTAAGACGTCAACACCTTCGCGCTTTGAGCCCTTCTTATGGAAATACCCTATAAAATATCGCGACACACAAAGGCCTTTGATTTACGAGTGTTTCGTTTCATTGAGGTCTATTAAAGCGAGCGAATCGTGAGAAAAAAAGCCTTCTAGAAGGGGACCACACGACAACTACCAAGATCGTTTTGTTGGAATTCTACATTAGGTATAAGAAAGACGCGCGGTAGAGTTCACATTAACATTAATACAATTCGTATCCAATAAAACCATATTTTTCTTTTGGTTTTTTGATAGGCGAACGGCTCATGTGGTTTTTTTCCCTAACCATTCGTTAGTAGCCTAGGGGGCTATTACAGCTACGGCCTAACGGGAGGATGAGCTCAGGGGCTCAACCAAGATAATTTGCTAACACAAACTCTAGCAGCAAGAGCAGTGCTTTGCAGAGTCTACCACCGGATTTGAATCGCGACCCACTGAAAAGGTCCGGCGAGAAACTCAGTGGGTCGTGTCTATGGGTTAGTTCGCTCGTTGAACTCCTCGTCGTAATCGGCGAGTTCAATCAGGACGGTGATCGTTTCTTGAGGCCTCTAAAAGCAGCCATAGATACCACAACGTGTTGGCACTATCTACTTTGACTCATGACCTGCTCTTGTTAGAGTTAGTCTTATAAACGACGTCAGGTTTGAGCTCCGTGAGCTCACCTACTTGTACACCTACGCTGAAATTAACGGTGTTTTTAGGTACCCCAAGTACCGGTCATCGTTCTCGTCGAACACGTCGCTTGCGACGAAGGGCTCGGCGAGTAAATTAACCCACAGACACAGCCCACTGAGTTTCTCGCCGGATCTTCTCAGTGGGTCGCGTTTCCGATCCGGTGGTAGATTCTGCAAAGCATGGCTCTTGCTAGGGTTCGTGTTAGCAACATCGTCAGGCTTGAGCCCCGTGAGCTCACCTACTTGTTAGGGCTACACTGACATGGTCTCAAGACCATCAGCTTAGGTAGGAAAAAAAACCGTCTAAATAGCATCGGGATAATCTGACACGCGACAAAAAAATTAAATAAACTCTCCTCTAATCTGGGAGTTATTTTATCACGAAACTGTTCAACAAGAACGGATAAGATGGATTTATTAATAATACGTTCCGTGATGCAGACATATCACATCGATGAGTGTTTACGAAAGCATTCAGATTAGACAATGACCGGAGACGTGTGCGTGACTTATACGTTACGCTCGCGACAAACTGATGTAACATAGGAATAATTAATGGCAATTAGATTGTTAAACGCAGCATTTGTGGGCCTTTAATAATGAGGGTCTTCATTCTCAGATCATTTACAAGAGTCTGAAGGGGTCGACCCGCGTCTCTGGTTTAGGGGCGAGATTAAGTTAGAAGACAGGTGTAGTCTAAGTCTAAATCAAATTCTACGCCAAATAAGTTTTTATGAAATACTTGGAACTTAATCACGACACTATCAAACATATTTTTGTCTTTGCGATGATCCACGGGGGACCACGAGTGGTCACCGTCATTAGCAGCCCGCTGATACTGTATAGACACATTTATCTAATAGTTTAAGATGGATACATTTATGTTAGTTGTTTTTGATAAGATTTCTCTTAGACGCTTGATAAAATGCTTGATAAAATAAAAGTAGTAATAGTTTGATCAGGATTGCCAGCCAGTTTCTTCAGATAAAAATTATAGTCCAAACTAAGCTCTAATACAGATTCTAAGAAAAACTGGCAAAACAAACTCAGCAAATATATCTTTATATCACTAGCTGTTGGCGCGGCTTTGCCTGCGTGATCAAGGAAAAGTATCAGTGTAGTTTCTTTGCCTTTTCGGAATAGAAGGTATTCTAGGTCACTAGCCTGACGTTTTAAAAAAATCATTTCACACTTATAACTACTATATGTATCGATTATTATTATTACTTCAATACTCCAGTTCAGAAAGTGAAATGGGGCAAACTTCCATAATAACAACTACGGTATTTTACAAAGGTGCACTTGTTGGACAGATTGCCCGCTAGCGTGAAATTTGGCATGGTTAAAGATGAATGTTCCATGCTACATGTACCTACTCAATATAAATTCTGTAGCTAAGAGAGACTGCAATGTAATAATATTGATTCGTTCACAATTGAATTACAGTTTCGATCACTGAGCGACCACTCATTTGAAAAGTTTGACTGCATTTGTCTTTTTCACTCACATTCAGCTTCAAACGTGACCGAAAGAGACAAAGCACGTTGAGCCTGCGCCTTCGCAGACAGTAAAGATTAGTATTAAAATAAATTCATATCACCATGTTTAATTGGAAACTATTATCTTTATGTTCAAACCATATAAATTTATAGCAGTGTAAAATTTATTAATATAAGAATGATTTGTAACGGGCTTGCGTAACTCTGTACAATTGCTAGAAATTTCGAGGTTTTTCAATTAAAAAATAAACACACTTTTGTACATTTTTTTTAATGCTTAGATGGATGGACGAGCTCACAGCCCACCTGGTGTTAAGTGGTTACTGGAGCCCATAGACATCTATAACGTAAATGCGCCACGCACCTTGAAATAAGTTCTAAGGTCTCAGTATAGTTACAACGGCTGCCCCACCCTTCAAACCGAAACGCATTACTGCTTCACGGCTGAAATAGGCAGGGAGGTGGGACATTTACTTCTAATATTTTTAATAGACGTGCCCGCCCGCGGTTTCCTTTGCTTGAAATTTGTAATTCGAAAAGATTGAATCAAGTTGCATTGTCCCGAGATTAAAGAGATGATTGATTGTATTATTGATACAATTAATCCTTTATCTTGTTGATGAAATGGGGTATTGACAGCAATTGTGCAGGTATCAATGACGTATCGTTTTTACCGCGGAGCATTCTTGTATTCCGACGTTTATAGACTCTAAGATACATACAAACGATCAAATCTCTCGGTTCCAACTCTTTTCCGAGTAAGTGCCGATATTTATTTCATGATAATCTATACTAATATTATAAAGGGGAAAGATTTGTTTGTTTGTTTGTATTGAATAGGCGACGAAACTACTGAACCGATTTGAAAAATTCTTTCACTGTTTGGAAGCTACACGATTCCCGAGTGATATAGGCTATAATCTTTTTTTTTAAATTAGGGATCCTTACTAAATCTCCAATAATATAACCCAAGGTGTAAAAAAAATACCTAAAATATTCTTTACATCGCGTGCCCTGCGAAAACAATTGATCATAGAATATAATAATGTACTACGACTTTGTAGGACACATTATTATTTATAAAAAGTGTCGCGACAGCATATTTTATGTCTAACTATTATAGTTATGCCGCAATAAGCGTTCTTTTATTTAAAAAAATAAAACAACGTCAAATATCGTTCAAATTTTTGTTAAAGACCGGAGCGGAGCCGGAGCGTGCCGCTAGTATTCTATAAGCCTACAAGATCAGTTGTATATATAAAATTAAACATAATTGTACTACTGTACGAATCAATAAAATTGTAACAATTATCATGTAACACGGAATTGATTAATAGCAAAATATTGAGATGAAATGAACAAGTTTTTTTTTTAAATAGGGATCGAATTGCTTATGGGCTCACGACTATTGCTAAGCACGATTAAAACTACTTATATGGTTTGAACATTTACCCACGTCGATTACAATAACGATACAAAAAATAAAAAAATATACGCATTTAACGACTATGTTAAACGCTTTGCTATGTTACAATTTTTAAGGAAAATATTCAAGAATAATATAGAAGTGTGAATTATGTTGCGAACAATCTACGTACATTAGTAATAATAATAAAATTACGTGCTTATTATTTTGTTTTGTAATTATCCTCCTTGTTGTAGTCCGCATACGGTCCAATGGTGATTCCGTATTTGTATAATACCTTGGTACGTGGCAAGAGTTACCCTGAGCGCTATTTACACTGTACGATTTTTAGTCACGATTATAATTTTACGTCATACATTTTGACGACATCAACAAGTCAACTTAATCAAATCAACAAGTCAAAATAATCTATACTAATATATAAATCTATAGTGGTTTTTACGGTTGTTCCGTTATAACTACTGAACCGTGCATCCGATTGACTTGAAAATATTTGACTAATATTTATATGAGTGTTGGACTCCCTAGTAATAATGACAATAAATAATAATGTTAACTTTAGATGCCTAGCGAAGCGGGTGAGGCGAGTACCTTGCGGCTAGTTAATATTACTAGTGGCCCCGCAGTAGTCGAAATTCGACTTTAAGCAATTGAAATTTTATGTTTAAACATTGTTATGGTTCTATTGTCAAATACTATTATACTTTATAATACAAACAGATTTCGCCAAAACTACACTATACATAAATAATAATAAGACAAACAATATTCATCTATTTTCAATTTGACCACAGACTTTAAACACTAACAATAGTTTGAAAATTGACAATAAACAAAGAGTATATTTATATCTACGTGTTATGGCAAATACGTGGTGGTGTGTGTGATGTTTTCTTTATTGATTTAATGTATCTTTATATGTATCTTTTATGCATTATTTTAAAAAAATATTAGCATTGTACACTCCTTCTCTATATTCTCTATAAGTGAAGAAATTTCATACTCCTCCGTCCGCGCAATTTTCGTAAAAAGGGATACAAAGTTTTTGCTTCACGTATTAATTAGCATTATAATTTTTATTGTACCTGAAATGTGGCAACGGCAATGTCGTCACGGAGTCTCGACAGTTGGAACGCGTTGGGAAGCATCGGCGCTGTCCGAAGATGTAGGTGACGTAGGGGCAGCCTCGCCGCCTGCCTCCTCGGCAGGGTGCCGTCTCGCCACGCCAGCAAGCACCCGCCTTGGACGGCCACTTGCACCCACACCCACGACTCGAGATCATCGTTGTAATACTGACGGAGTGCACCTGACCAGACAAACAAAAGATGTTTCCGTTAATACGTGCATGAAAAACGTCGACAAATTAATGTTCGATAAAAATTTAATTGAGATTTTAAAATAAATAAATAGTTTAAAAAAACAAAAAAAAAAACGCTTTTATAGAAAATCCAATTAAAAAATAGAAAATAAATTTTAATAGATTTGAATGAAAAATAGTTTTTTTTAAACAATTATTTTTCATTTTTTAGTTGAATTTCAATTTTTTATTATTCTTTTTCTCAATTTTTTTTTTTCATATTAAATTGTCATCGGTCCTTAATAAGTATACCAAATTTCGAGTTAATCCGACGTTTTGAAGGGGGTCAAAACCATGTTCAAAGATGTAAATGCGCCACCCACCTTGAGATATAAGTTCTAAGGTCTCAGGTCTCAGTATAGTTACAACGGCTGCCCCACCCTTCAAACCGAAACGCATTACTGCTTCACGACAGAAAAGTTTATTTCAACATTTAGAAAATACATATCGAGGGGTGAAACGCTTAAGCGACATTTTTGCAACTTTACAGGAGAGGAGAGTAGGTACACTGACCTTTAATTACAAAGCTAAATGTCGGGTATTAAACGTAATGTTGCTTAAACCAAATAGCTTTTCACCGATCGATATGTATTACATATTCGTTTACCAAAATAATTTCTTGTGTATTTTAGTGTTCAATGTAACTAACTAGAACATTGTCAAAAGCTATTAATTTCTGGACTTCGTATAGAAAAGACTACAAAGGCATCAACGTCAATTAAGCAATTTTAAATAAAACTAAACAAATATTTTCTAACAAACAACATTATACAGTCCAAATAATCGAGTCATACATATTATATTTTCAGTCTAATGCGTTTCTTATCGGACAGAGAAGACTTTTAAAAATGTAAATGTTGTCTATTAAGATCCAAACGTACAATCACGGGTCAAAGGACGACATCGCATTGCCGACGAGACACAGTGATGATAACAGTCCGATCTTCATACAAAGTAAACATGAGCCTTTATTCAATAAGATTTCGTTGTCTGCCCACACGTTTGTGTATACATCCCCACAAGTCGTCTCTTGGCGACTATTGATAAATTTGTCCATTATGTTTTAATTAACTCATCAAAATCCGTCTATAATAATTCAGTGGCAGTTTACCTACATAATATCCCGTGTTGTTTTCCGTGTCCTAAGCATATACGTAAGAGAATTACGGCCAAACAAAAACGACAAAACAATTAATATCCATGGCCCCCATCTTGGATTTCTGCCGGTGTTTTTAGTACCGGAAACATTTATACGTGACAAATATAAGTTTCTTTTGTTTTTTTTCGGTTGTGCAATAAATAAATATAAAGGATCCGAAACCCGAATTAACAAAAACACTAATTTCGATCGGAAAACCATCTAAATTGAGACGATTTCTAAGTCTTAGTTTTTACAGTACATTGTTATGTGTATAACGCTAATGCAAATCAGTGTTGGTTTATGTATTGTTAATTAGTCTAAAGACAGGAAATGCACGTTCTAAGAATCACTTCTATAGTATAACGGCTTTTCCATATTTCAAATCATTATTGCTTCACCACGCAATACTGCTTCACGGCAGAAATATATAGGGTAGTGGTACAGACCTACTCGTTTGGACTCACAGAAGGAGCCCTACTTTTGAATTAATTCAAAGATGGATTTAAACGCGCATACATCTCATTACTGTACGGAGATGGTATTAATCAGAATATATTCAACAATGAGATGAATGAACAAAGCGAATTTCTTCGGTGTCAACGGAATATTTTCGGGATCATCGATATATTGCGTGCTTGAAATAACACCCATTTTAAATGATTATCATGTGATATGGTCCGTTCTGTCTGTTCTTATAAGTGACGTGCGTAAGTATCGCCCACAAATCGCATTAAACTAGTTGAATAGTATTGTTGTAATACCAAAGCGATAGAGATTAATCTAACTTGTACCGCAGCATATGGTGATATGATAAAATGATCCTTTAAGTTAAATACAATATGGTATGATTGAAAAAAGTCCAACTTTTTTTACATTTTTTTTTTCTCCTACCTATGCTGATAGCCTTGAGAGGCTCTTTCAGCTTCGCCCTAACGTGTAAGTGAGCTCACGGGGCTCAAGCCGGAGTCTTGCTAGTACTGGCCCTAGCAAGAGTAGTGCTTCGCAGAATATACCACCGGATCGGAAACGCGACCCACTGAGAAAAGTCCAACATAAATCAATGATCAAATTGAATTTACAATTCAGATGTTTCACTAACTCCGTTTTTTTTAAGTGAAGCTTGTACCGTTCGGTCATTATTTACGCTTTTTTATTGCAATTAGCCCATCAGATCGTAAGTAGTACGGTCTATCTAATGGTGAGTAGTTACCGACGCTCATGGATGTCAGCAATACCAGTGCCAGACCCAATCCGATGCCTAAAAATTTTGCCTACGATTTAGATATTTTTACATAGTTCGAGAAATCTATAAAAAACAAACAGGCTTGAAAATTAGAAATTCTATTTTGTCAACTTAAGTTCATTAAACTTCACAACGCATTGCATTGTCAAGTTTACAAGGTCGCGTGATAGTTATCAATGGGAAACACGAGTTGAATGCCGAGTATGATCCAGTAATTTAGACACTTTCACGTTGTTCAAAACGATTAAAACCGAAGATTAAATGCAGTGACCATTTTTTTAGTGCGCAAACATTTAAATTCCGGGAAATACAAATTCAAAAACTGCGCTAGTTCTATATTTTTTTTCTCAAGCAAAATGCAAAGTTTTAATGCGTGTTTTAACTGTATTTCTATGAAGACTTCCTCGTCCGTTAGTACGGTGTCTACTAGATGAAAATTACTATCAGCTATTTTATACAATCGGCAGTTTTTGTCCGAAAAACTCAGTTACAATTCGTTCATGGAAATAACTGGTACAATATTTCAAACAGGTGTTTATCAAAATAGGTACCACAGATGCAATATCTAAATAAATCGATAAATTTCATCGGATCTTCGATGTGACAGATTATACAAACTTACTGTATTCTCCTAGAGTATTTTCTGTTAGTTCCGTTTTATCTGGTGATTTACTCATTCTCTATTATTCTTTGAAAATATCCTACTTCGTATAAACTTACCGATTATGTGCAATTCTTAAAAAAAAATACTAGCCGTTACAATCACGACCTGTGTTGCAATGCGTTAATAATATTTCGCAAGGTATTTATTTTTAAGAGTAGATAAATTTACTTTAGTTAAATACTTTTATATTTTACAAAAATAAAAACAACTAGCATAATTTGGGTTCCTATTTTAAGTGTAACTAGTGTGAAATAAATTATACTTCAATTTGGTTAGAGGACGAGTGATTATAGAGGTCATTATTGTTGTTATAAAATTGGAGTTACCATGAAATATTAGGTTTTATAATCAAAACATTAAGAGTGCCTAAAATTAGGTATGGCGTCATAAATTTCGAGTATCAACTGCGATTTTTATTAAAGGATTTTATGACCTGGTATCTAAGACCTTTAGGTCAGGTCTTATTTTAATATAAATTCTTATTTTTATGAAAAATGATAATATGGAGTGAAATGAAATAAAGATAATAATTTGAGACATTAATCAACTGGAATAAAATGAAATGAAATGAGATGAGATAATATGGGACGAAATACAATCTCAGTAAAATGGTGGTCATTTACTGAGATTTTTTCAGTGGACTTTTTGGAGGATCCCGAGAAGTTACGTCTAGCGGCTTTGTTTCATTTTCCCACATTTGTGCACTTTCACAGATACTAAACAGTTAATAAACCACCGTTATTACACACAGTCGTTATTTTTAAATCTGAAGAAACACTAAATAGACAAAATAAAACAAAACACACAACTTCACTCTTCCTCGCGTTCCCGCCAAAATCTATCAACTGTGATACTACTTATAACTAGTACTAAGTAGTAAGCTAGTACTTATAACACTTACAACCAGATTAAATGGATTAGTTGTTTACCTATTAATCTGTGCTTCGTAGTTCGTTAGGATATCGAATTCAGTTTCGATATTAATAGTGTGTAAATTGACGTATATAATTTATATTTAGCGTCTGAGGACTTTGCATGATAATTTTCTGCTCGGTTTATTATCAGAATACAACAGCAAACCAAGGCAAAGTCCACGGTTCACTCGAACTACTTACTAAATTTATACATTGTCCTATTATCCCTATATAAAAATATATTAATTACCTTTTACCATAAATTTTACTATATTTTGCTATTAAAAACTAATTCTACTAGGTACCTAGCTACAGTGGCTATTTAATGTAGCTACTTGGGGTTAAGGGCTACACTTTCCCGTATGGTTCATCGATTTGGAAGTTCAGATTTTTTTGTAGATAGAACTCATAATACCTACTTCGATATCCTTGCAGTTGTTAGAACAATTCCACAAATTATAGTTAATAGAATTACTGAGTAAAGTTCAGGAATTAAGCAAGACTTTTAATAAGTCTCATTTAGTCGCTTTTACTTGATATTTGAATAGCTTTCTTTGCTTTTACTGAGTTCAACGACCTAATGTAAACATTGCCAATTTCATTTGCCGATCTAAAACCATAATGAAGATTACCTGATATCCTTATGTTAGGGTCTATTAGAGTTGGTATTGGTCCTGGAGTCAATTCAGGGCGGAGTTTTCTTAATCCGGCCACCACCCGCGGTGCCGGCGACTGCTCCCCCACAAGCATTTCACCACACCATTGCACTTTTAAGCACTACACAACAATTAACAGCATCACAATTCAAAAGAAAATACTCTACTGTATAAATCTTTGTGCTCTACAACTGCACCGCTTGTCAAAACAACATAGCCAACTGTCATAGTCGTTATATTTTAACTCGAAATAGTTCGTAATATCGCGCGTGTTATTGTCGATCACTAGACTGACCCATTTGAGTGACTAACCGGCCGGCCGGCACATCAATGAATGAGCGACTGAGCCAAGTTGAATTGTCGTAAATGACATCCCTCCTTTATCTTGTTTACCAAACATAATTGTAGAAGCATGTTGGAATGCGACATCTATTGTCGAGTAGTACAAAATCAGATCAGTAAAATTAAATTACTTGTAGTCTAATACCTATTTCAAAAATGTGAGATAATAGAAAAACGTTTCATACTTATTCTTTCCTCTGCGTCACAGATAAAATGACATTTATTACGATTATATATTTTATGACTTTTTGCATAATTTTTTTATGGAAGTTAATGGTTTGTAAACTAATGTTTCTATCGAAGAGACATCTGTAATGGAATAGTGTTAAACAGTTTGACATGAATAAGGTTCTACACAATTGCACTAGATGGCGCTATAACATTTCCAACTGTACCTGTCTATGCTGCCATCTATACGTGAAATAAGTAATCAGTTAAAGATTAGTTCAGATTAAGTTCATCAATAATAATTGCCTTTGCAAACCAAAAAGTCGCCGTGCTAAGAATATTTTTATCCATAGATGGCGGTACGAGTTTTCACTGTGACATAAAACATCCAAAAGAAATTCAAATTTTAAAAAGTATAGATTATACTAGTATTTTTCGTAATTTTATGACAATCATACCTGGACGTTAGAAATGTTATTGAAAAGCATTAAATAATTATTGAAGGAAACCACAATGCCACCTAGGATATCTATCTCGAAGACCTTTGTTTGTCGTAGATATGTGAGACTCCTATCATGAACTCGATTTAAGATTTACGAGCCAATGGAATAATTCCGACAATATTAACGTCATTCGTATTTATTAAAAACACGCCTTAAGAATGCTTTGACGTAGCTTTTACTCACTATATTGCTAAAATGAAAAAATCTGAACTGTGTATGTAATGTCATCAAACTCATTTTGACCCGGTGTGCAATAAATACACTATAAACAAGTTTCTATTTGGTTTCTTTAGTAGAATCAGTTACATTCTTATAAGTTAAGCCGATTATCTATTACTATTGTTAAAATTATTTCGAAAGATTTATTAGAGTTTTGAAGAATAAATTCTAGATTTACTCAAACTTCTACCACTGGTTTTAGACGAATTTTAGAAAGCTTTTTTTAAGTATGGGATAAGTAGTTCTTATTAACTATTCTTTACCAACACTAAATGAATTATTCAACTTTACTTTCAAGATATTTTTAATGTTTTATTTGTGTCCATATTTTACCACAATTAGCTTAATTTAGCTTAAAACTATTAATAATATTCATAATCACATTGAAAGATATCGTTTATTAACAAAATGTTTTTCAATAACAAACGTAAGTCATACCAAAATAATGGAAGACAACAAAACGTTAATAGGAAGACAGCGAGATCAAACACAATAAATGGCACATAAATAAATTTTCAAGTGCATTATAAAGGCACATACATTACTCGTTTAAATAATCTAGAATCGATTATAACCTATACAAACTAATTAAGGCATTAACATTTATTAAAACGAATTAAAGCTTTGTCATGGAAGAGACTACAATATCACAATGAAAGAGTGACGCGCCGGTAAAAACATATCACCAAGGGCGCCATTTGTTGCCTTCTTCGTCGGCCGGTGGTCCATCGCCTTCACGCTCTTTTTTCTCACCACAAAAACCTTCAAGACGCCGCCTTGCCGCTTCTTGCTTTTTGTACTCTTGGTACTCGATTAATTTCCTTTTCTTTTTAGGCGGCAAATTGCTGTAATCCATCGGCAATTCGCATCGTTCCGGAAGATCGAGTGTCACTTCAACTTTGCTCTCCGGTGGCGGAATTGTTTCCGGCTGACCGGCCGCTTGACGTGTTATCGGCTTCTTTGGTGAGCCCGCCTCGTTTTTCGGCGACCTAACTTTTCTGAGATCCAAAGTTTCATTACTAATGAGCCCGTTCGCGGGCGAATATTGGCACGTGTAGTCGCCTCTGTACACGTCGTCCCTGTGTATATACTTCTGTTCCGATAAGTCGGCATTGCTGCTAGTGTCGCTGTAGTCACTGCCGCGCTTGTCCATTATGTGCTGTCGTATTTTTTGTAGGATAATATCCTTCGCCTCGGCCGGAACTCTGTTGAAATATGTGTTTTTTTGCCCGTGTACCGAACCGTTCATTTGTTCGGAGACAACGTGGTGTGAGACGACGAGTTTGTCAACTGTCGTGAGCAACCCGTTTTCAGATTTGTGTGCCCTGCTTTGTCCGCCGTAAGCCCATTGCTTGGGGCCGTCCACAGAGTAAATAGAATCCTCAGCGTCCGATGATGATCTCTCGTGATCGCTATAGTAATGATGTCGGTCAGAGACAACGGACACCGGTGAGGTAGGTGGAGAGAAAGTAGCTCGTTCCGGTACCTGAATGGTGAGGGGTTGCGCCGTGATCAATCGTGACAAATGGCTGATCAAGTTCTGGCTAACGTTCGCGTCCAAATCCGGTACGGACATTATGAAGCGGCATGCTTCGGCCGCACACTGTCCGAAGCCCGCCTGAAACTTCTTTGCTTCCAGAACCGGATCCTTCGGGCTGTGCAACTTTGTGAGGTGGTTAACGGTTAGTTCAAGGATGTCGGCCTTCTCCAGCTTACTTAGGTTGTCGTCATCGATCTGCGGATGAAAAGAAGAAAAAAATATGCGTAAATTATAAAAGCAGGTGTTGACCGTTCACCGGTGTTCTCACGCTTCGAGAAGGCGCAGCGTACCATTAACTTAACTGTAATCGTCGACTCCTGTTTGCGAGTGGAACTTGTATATTTATTCCAGTTTCGCGGGGGGTGAGCGCCCGTGTAATAAACAGAAGGACGACCGGTCGAACGATAAAAATAAACGGCGTGTGAATGGATGATGGATCGAGTATTGATGACTGGCGAGAAGATGAATTGCTTTATACGAGCAATTAAGTAGTTGAGGATTGATAGGATAAGTGGCGCGGTTTATTTTTATTCCGTAATTGCACGGCGGACTGGATGGATTTATAGAATAATGTTACATACCTCCAACGCTCCGACCATTAGGTCTTTGAGTTCGTCTAAGCATCGATTGATGCGCGCCCGACGTTTCCGCTCCAGCAATGGTTTAGTTATTTTCTTGTATTTAGCCGTCTTGGACAACGGAGCCGGGTCCGACATCTTTTGGTAATCTAACACAAATAAAAATCATATTTTAGTGGTCTATTGACATTATAAAGCTTAGGTATATTAGGTGGAGTTTTTGAACGTGCTATTTGATTTTATTTATCAATAAAACTTGTCACTTTATTGTCAATTACAAAATCGAACAAAAGCGACCTTAAGAAATACATTAGTATCGGAGAAAACTGTAAAATAAAAAATCTACTTACGAATTATAAACACTTAAATGAACTTCGAACGCACTTGTAATACACCCACACGCGTCGCGACACTACACGTGCACCTCCCAACGCGTCTCTTTGCCAACTGCCTGAAAAAAGCCTTAGCCCTGTCCCCCGCGGCCCTACACCCCCGCACCCCTCTCATTCATGCCCTACGGAGCACGTGTGGCCCACAGATCGGGTTCCTTGAAATACTTTCCCAGGATACTTGTATGCTGTTGTTTTTTCTACAAAATAAGCAGTTTATTTATAGCCCAATGTGTGATTATGTGTGATCTTATTAGCTTCTCTAGTTTGTTAATGAGCGATCTGGATTCGTGTGTGGTCGTTGAATAAATGATAAGAATCACAACGTTTTATGCTGGTAAACGAAGATCAGAATTTGATTAGAATATGATTTAGTTTAATTTGAATGTTTTTGAATGTCGCATTGTCTGTTACAATAGATATTGACGAAGAACCATGGAAGACGATAGATACGTTTTTTTTTTGTAATTTCGCAATTACTTTTGTCGCACCAAATACACACACGTGCTTTCTTTCTTTTTTTCTACCTAAACTGGTAGCCTTGAGAGGCTATTCCAGCGTAACCTTAACTAGTAGGTGAGCTCACGGGGCTCAAACCTGACGACGTTGCTACCACGAACCCTAGCAAGAGCCGTGCTTCGCAGAATCTACCACCGGATCGGAAACGCGACCCACTGAGAAGATCCGGCGAGAAACTCAGTGGGCTGTGTCTGAGGGTTAATTTACTCGTCGAGCCTTTCGTCGCAAGCGACGGGTTCGACGAGAACGGTGACCGGTGCTTGAGGTACCTAAAAGCACCGTTAGTGGATCGGGAGGATCCGAGATGACGTGTTTTGGGCGACGTCGTCTGCTTTCCATTCTTTCCGCAGGATCGGGAATGTAGTTACCGGCAGCCACGATGAGAGGGTTCTCGTGTCGTGCCGCTTTATCGAAGTGAACACGTGCGAGAAGCGTCAATATAACGGAATTACGCAACAATTGGAAACAAAGCATATTGTTTTTTTCTTGTTGTAAGTAATACAAACTTTAAAACTGTGTAATATCATAAAACCTTAACGAAAATTTTGTACAATGGAATTTTCGACACGGTTTCCATTTAAATTTTAATTTTGTCGGCTCTTTAAAGGAGCAGTAGACAAAAGCACTCGACAAAAAGTTCATAATAAATGGCACGGTCCAAAACGGGGACTTGAAATGATATTACTGTTGCGGTCCGTTTTTTTTTTTTGGTCTCCAGGTAGAAAACGGCCTAAGGACAACCGATTTTAAGCAAACGCTTTTAACTTATTCGCCGTTAAAGCATATTATCTTATATTTTATTGTTATGTGCGTACATATGTTTATAACTTTAAACGTTTTGAGACATAGGCCCGTATGTGTACATTTAGCTAAAATAATTTTTAATTTGTAATATTATGTTCACTCAAAGCTCACACTCAAAATACCTCAGTTGATTTCCTTTATTGTTAACAAAAATACCTATTTTTCGATAGGTACCTATTCGCTGGTAGCTTAAAGGACTCCAACTACAAATGGACCGGTAGGTGAGCTCACCGACTCAACCTGAGAGAATTTGCTAATACTAACCCTAGCAAGAGTAGTGAGTTTCACTGAATCTCCCACCGGATCGGAATCGCGACCCACTGAGAAGATCCGGTGAACAGCTCAGTAGGTTTGTTTGTTATGAAAAGATGCAGCAAACACAATTTGTATAAATTTTAATGGCGACATATGAGATCAATTTGCAATGAAACTAACAATTAAAAGTTGAATATTAATATTACTTTGACAATTACATAATTTTACATGGAAACCAAAGTACAGCCTTTAGTAATATGAAATTAATTGCGGAAGTAATTTTAGTATTTTCATCGGTTTTCACGAGTCACACAAATAAAAAACTTATACGGCTTAATCTCGCGTTTTTATGTAACTTTTATTTATTTCCGACGTGTCCGTCTGAATGACTGTGATTTCTTTCTTTTAACTAACTATCTACAATTGACATAATGATAGTACATATTTTTTTCCATTTTCGCGAGCCTTAGAAACTACTAGATACTACATACTAATCCGTAAACTACTTTTACGAATTTATCACGCGCATGCAATCAACACGAACGAATTTAATTTAGTTTTATTACTTTCAAAATTACAGTATTCCAAAAAAAAATTCCAATTATTAGTAGGATCCAAAAAAAAACAATAATTAAAACATAAATTAAGACCACAGGTTTCATAATTTTGACTGTACGAAACACTGAATGAGGCGGTCTTTTATTTTAATTTTACCCTAAACCAGTATAGACAGACAGACATGTTTGGTAATTTTTCAAGTAGCTAAGCTATTTTTGTATAAAATGGATAGATACTAAATGCATTTTATTTTCTATCTGAAATCCCGTAGACATTTTATTTTGAACTTAATTCAATCTTTGGTACTCATAAAATCTGTAAAGTACACATAGTTTATGCGAAATTAATTGTGAAATCAATAAAATTCGAAATTGAAACTGGAAATGAAATAGAATTATTGAAATATTCATAATGCCGATGTGATGATATAACGAAATACACTATGAACGTATCGACCGAAGAAAATTTAGTAGGGTCTGCAAATAAGTAAAAGTAATTTGAAAAATAAAGTTTTAACAGCAAGCTGAACTAGCGATTTAAATAAACTTTTGAAGTTATACTTCTTTAAGCGCGTTATGAAAAATTTATGAGACTGAAATTTTATGATGCGCGCGCACCGTGACACAAAATTAACAGAATGAAGTTGCCCACTAAATCGCTCGTTACAATACGACCGACGTAACTTGGCGAGTCTGAATATAGCCGCAGGTGAACTTTCGCGCATGTACACTCGTAAAAAAAAGTGTTATTAGCATTCATTTTTTAGTAATATAAATGACAAAATTATTATTTAATATAATTCATACTAAATATTATTAAATTATTAACGTTAAATATTTATTATTAATTATTTAATATTTAAAAAAAAAGAAATAAATTAAAAAAAATAAAGTATAACTTCTTACGCGCGTACATAAGTACACGCACCCTTTTTGTTTATTAATCCCGCTGATTCTGGTCGGCAGTCTATTAGGCCATGGTAATAAAATGATTGTATTGTCATCGGTGCTTGGTGACGTGAGCAAGTTTACAATTTAATTATACGTTTTGAAATAATTGATAATTAGTATACAAAGCTATTATATGCACGTTAAATATGTATTAGTAACTTCTCAGTAGTCGTTTGTGGTGTAAATGAGCATAGTTGAGTACTGCAGGCAGGCGAGTATACGACCTGATATTGAGTGGTTACCGTGGCTCATGGACTTAAGCAATGCCAGGAGCAGAGAAAAGCCGCTGCCTACCGCAAAAACCATACGGGGAACCTAAAACTATATAGACACTAAAACTTAAAAGTCGTTTTCGCTCTTAAGATATGAAGTCGCAAGAATCAACGCATCAATGCGTTGTAGCTGAAAATAGACACACTTTCCCACTTGCCCTTATTCCATTATGTGGGGTCGGCGCAGTATATCCTCTTTTCTATTTAATCATACATCATCTTTTCACTCACATCCTTCATTCAAGTCTTTTTAGAACGCCCCCTCCTTATATAACCGTCTGCTTTTATACCCCGGGTCTTTTTGGCCACATGATCATATTCTTTTCGCATTAATGCTGATACAACGATAACCTTCCACTCTTTTGGTCATATCCACTATTGCTGGGACAACGGTCGTCTGGTGTAGTGGTAAGTGACATGGTCACTACACAAGGGGGTCGCGGGTTCGAATCCCGCCAAGGGAAGATATTTGTATGATAAATATAAATGTATTTTCCAGGGTTATGGATGTATATTAAACATTAAATATATGTACGTATACAATAAAAATCTTACATTTATTTCCGTTATCTGGTACCTGTAACACAAGTTCTTTACGAACTTAGCACGGGACCAGTTGACGTGGCGTGATTGTTATTTAATATTTATTTACTATTAAAAAAAAAAAATAGATTACTAGTAATTAGCTATTTTGTTCTTTAATCCTTCGTATAAATTAGCTACATGCTACTAAATTAGAAGCAAGGCTTAGTCGCATATTGAATCACACTGGGCATCTTAAATCCGAATTGTCATACCTACTATAGCCAGTATACTAAATTCAGTAGGTACTAAATTAGAAGCAAGGCTTAGTCGCATATTGAATCACAGTGGGCATCTTAAATTCGAATTGTCATACCTACTATAGCCAGTACCTATACTAAATTCATAAATTTTTATTTTACAAACATATTCAATTACTTTATTGTTCTTTAATGAACATAAAACTCGGTTACCGTACATTTGTGACGCATGCACTTCGTTAAGCGTAAAATCGACAATTAAATCGTCGCAAATATTTGAGAACGTATGAAATTTGTAATTCGTGAAGGTTCATCAGTTAAGCTGGATATAAAACAAATCAAAGATTGTATGGGGAAACTATAATGAGAATGAATTGAACGAAACTAAATGCTCAAAACGTTACACGCTCTGTAGACATGCTCTGTTATATAATAGCAGTAACAATTATCAAAACAGTCGATTCATATCTATAGCTAAATGAATACAATGAAATCGTAATGTGTGAAAAGAAGAAACAATAATCATAAAATAACATCTTAATACTATCTAATAAAAGGTTTTCTTGAAGGCTCTTCGAAGCTCGCAAGGGTTCTTAGATTCAAAGTTGAGTCATTTTGATGCGTCAATGAATAAACTCTTCAATATTTCAGTTCTTTTCCGGTAGACTAGAGCTTCATATTTTTTTAAAAAGATGTTCCTGCGATTTGTTTTTCACTAAATAGAAACTTGCTTAAAACATTTCAACGCACCGCTAGTTTGTAATATGAAACTAAATAGGTATGTTTGTATTCGCTTTTTAATACACGTAATTATGAATGGATGAATCAGGAATGAGGAGATTCGCAGGAAAACCATAATAACTGACATAGTCCAAAGGATTGCGAGGTTGAAGTGGCCGTGGACAAGTCACATTGCTTGTAGAACAGATCACCGTTGGGGCAGAAAAGTCTTCAAGTGGCGACCGCACACCGGAAGATGTAGC